ACACACTGATTCTGAGGACCCACACTGTCTCTGAGGACACACTGATTCTGAGGACCCACACTGTTGGAGCATCTGGACACAGAGACTGAGACGCACTGGCTGAGTTAGAGATCAACTGAACCAACCAGACGTTGTTTAAACGTCCCTTTAAGGAGAGTGTGCACCACACAACAGTGGAGAGTCACTTTGTGAGGGCCTGTTGTTGCTGCTGTTGTGTGAGGACTTACAGAAAAGGCGGTTCTGGGTTGAGGTGTTGGAGGAGCCGGACTCTGAGGAGATCTGGACTGAGAACCTACAGAGAGACAAAAACGATGTTAGCTGGTGTGTGTGTGCGTGTCTGTCTGTGTGTGTCTGTGTGTGTCTGTGTGTGTGTCTGTGTACCTTGTCTGTTCACAGATCTGGTCCTGACAGGTGGTCTTTGAGGAGGCTTTTTCACTGATCTGAAATCATTCAAAATAGAACTGAGTGATAAAACTCTGGGATGTAATGCATGTAACAGATGTAACACGTGTAACACATGTAACACATGTAACAGATGTAACACGTGTAACAGATGTAACACATGTAACAGATGTAACACGTGTAACAGATGTAACACATGTAACACATGTTACACATGTAACAGAACACTGTAGACTGATACGCACCCGGTGGGTGATTTGGGGGATCCAGGAGACTTGGGTCCTGGTGCTTTGCTGGTTTGGTGGCTGGGGACAGGAGGGGGTAGAGGTGGAGCTTTGTAGAGGGGGGGTGAAGGTATGGAGGGTGTTGATGGGACTGGAGGAGGGGGGGGGGGTCCCAATGCTGGTGGAGGAGGCAGCGGAGGGAGGGGGGTGTTCCTGGCTGAGACAGGCCTCATTTCAAACAGACTGGACTTCCTGCTTCCTGGAGGAGGGGGAGGAGGGGGAGGAGCTGCTGGCAGCACTGGGGGAAGAGGGGGTGGGGGGGTTAAACCAGGAAACGTCATCCTTCAAGTTTCAACCAAATGTAAGTTTAGCTGCGGTTCCAGAAAATCATCGAATCACAAAACAATCACAAAGAAATGAAAATAAAAAACAAAGACAGAAAGACAACAAACAAACATGATGATGCTTCACCCACCGTACATGGAGGAGTTCCTCTCAGGGGCCTGGGGATTCGGGGGGTCAGACGACGACCTTTGCCTTCCAACGGTTTCCATGGCGGCAGGTTTACTGTGACCCAATCCTGCAGACACACAAGTTTACTGTTTGTTGTTTTTGTTGCAGCTGATCGATAGACGATCAAAGCTGTAACTGATCGATCCAAAACACATTTAAAGACTCTCGTAAATATATCTAAACAACGCTGAAATAGAGGAAATTAAAAAGAGTCATGTACAGATGGACAGGCCCCAAACTGACCCCGCCCTCTGACCTCTCTGGGGGGCTCTGGGAGGGAGCGGTGGCGTGGGTCCTGCCGGCAGCAGGTCCAGCATGGTGCCGTACGTCTCATTGCTGATTATGGTGCTGGGAATCTGAGGCCTGTGTTTGTCCCGCACCAGGCAGGCAGCGTCCCGGGCCAACGCCGCCAGGTTGGGCTGCATGGAGGCACTGCCCGGCACGAAGCAGCTGACTGGACGCTCCTCACGGCGGTTCGGTATGGGCTGCGCAGAAAAGGGCCGGTTATACAACCCGAACATTTCCACATGTTGTCTGACTTCACCAGATAAAACCAGTTTACCTTGTCCTCCATCTCGTCCTCGCTCTCATCCAGGTCCTCGTTCTGGAGACGCCACTCGTACTCGACATGAACGTGAACGTTAAACTTTCCAGTCTGAGCCTGAGTCAGCTGAGGACGAGACATCACTCAGAATTAATATGTGGAGAAGATTTTTTACAACTGAGGTTAGACGCAACGAGACGATACGGAGACAAAACTACAAAAAATTCATAACAACCGCAAATGTTGTCTTCTCACCAGTTCTTCACACTGAGTGTGTCGGAGACGTTTGCAAATGTCCAGCGGAGTCTCTCCTGCTTCGTTTGCTGTCGAGATAAATTAACAACAGTTTAGAAACGAAGCTAAACTTTAGCGGCGTCGCTCGATTAAGTGTCAGTTCAAACCTGATTCAAGCTACTAAATAAGAAGCTACATGATTGTTTCTGGAACGTCTTGGACTCGTGTGGGACGTTAGCTGAACACAGACCGACTCTACGTATGACAGTTCGTCATCTTACTGATGGACACAGAGGCTTTTCCTCTCAGCAGCAGTTTGAGACACTCTCGGTTGTCGGTCAGGCAGCAGTAATGCAGCGCCGTGCTTCCTCCGGCCGTCTGCTTGTCCAGGTTCCCACTGAAACACACACAGGGACAGAAAGTTACATAATCTGACATTATGAAGCAATCTGACATCTGACCAGCAGAGGGCGCAGGGACTCAGCGGTCCTTACTTCTGGCTTCAGACTCATCCATCGATAGACTAAAAAATAAATTCACATTATCTTTAGATTTAATCTCGATCCGAACATTTCCGCCAAAAACACGTCTGGTGTTGTCAGGACCTGTGGGAGGTGCCAATGCAGGAAATTCTCCGCCATTTTGAGAAAATATGAGCAAAAGCAGAAGCAAAAGAGAATGAATTTCTCTCCTGAGAGTCTGAAGCTTCAAGTGTTTGATCATAGTTTCATTTAAACTGTTTTGGTTTCACGTTGTACTTTGGGGACTAAAGAATTTTGTCTGACATACGAACGTCCTGTCGTCATCACCTACGTGGGCGTCGTCTACCTATTCTTGACTCTTGGTTTGTAGACGGCGTTCACAAACTTAAAGACTAAAACTAAATCATGTGGTTTTACGTCTCCTCCAACCAGAGCAGGTTCAGTTCCTCCAGGTGTTGTGACATATTTCATTCACCGTGACCTCTGACCTCTGACCACCAAACTTGAATCAGTTCATCTGCAGGTGGAACTGACTGTTTTCATACAGTTTAAAGAAATCCCCTTCCTGAGATATCGTGTTCACAAGAGACAACCTGAGAACTAACGCCTCTGACTGTCACCAGCGAGTGAAGACTAACAAAAAACAAATGAATGTAAAATGTTGAACCAGATCAACTTCAGCGTTCTCTCAGGACGCCGCCCACCTGTGTCGTGGTGCAGCAGTTACCTGTTCTGAGCGAGGAAGTCCACGATGTGGAGGGAGTTCCTGTCGACCATTCGGACCGCCAGATGGAGCACAGTCTCTCCAGGTTCCTACAAAGAACAAGCAGACCTTCAGGGCAAAGCACAGTGTGACCGTGTGTCGACCGTTCGATACCATCACTGTAGTCGTACATGTTCGTTGGGCTGCGGGATGGCGTCCATCAGGTCTACCCCCTCGGCGTAGACCTGGATCAGTGACAGGATGTCTCTGTTCCTGACGGCCTCGTATAAAGCCTGCAGTCTGGACTCAGTGTCGGCACAAAACCGCAGAGCGAAGCGTTTCTCTGTGTACTTGGCCGTGATGTAGTCCTTCCTCTTCTGCCTGGAAACCGGCCGACCACAGAGAGAGGCGGAGTTAGCGTGTCACCTTTAACCGGTGTTTGATTTCCTTCCTTTCTGATCATTCTAAGAAAATCCGCCCATCACTCACATGTCGCTGCTCGGATCAGGTTTGGTTACGCCCTGCTCCGACAAATCTGCCTCCATTATCTCATTGAAACTGGCATTTCCCACGTTCTTCGCCAACTAAAACACAACATGGGTTCATCAGCGATGATCCACACACACACACACACACACACACACACACAC